ACCTGGTAAGTGCAAAGTAAACACTATTTTTTATTTCTTTTCTTCCTCTCATCTTCCCCACCCAAGCAGCTTCAATACATTCTTGGCTCTCCACTTTCTAAGCGTACCAGGTCTCTCCTGTGTGTAAAAGTTGATGGGGCCCTTTTGTGATGAAGGACAGCACCCGAGACTCCCCCACACAGACCCTACGTGCCCTTAAAATGCAGTCTCAGATTACAATTGACAGTTTTTTTCTATGAAGAGCTAAATACTAAATATGTTAGGTTTGGGGAACAAGATGGTCTTTACCTCAACTACTCAACCCTGCCATTGAAGAGCAGCCATAGATAATGTGTAACAAATGGGCATGGCTGTATTCCAATAAAACTATGACATTGAAATTTCATATGATTTTCTTGTGTTAAGAAATATTCTTTTGAGTTTTTAAAAACCATTTAAATATGTAAAAACCATTCTTAGCTTGAAGGCTAGACAAAAACAGGCAGTGGGACTGAATTTGGCCTGTGGCCCATACATTGCTAACCCTTGCCTTAGCAGCTTGGCAATTTGCCCTGATTCATGTCCCACCCTAGGAGAAGAACGGCTTAGTTGTGTTATCTGGAATCACTTACATAGTTTTTAGCTTTTGTCATTACATTTATTATGCTGCATATTAATCATATGTATTTGTTTTTCTCTCTTATTGGACTCTGAGCTTCTTGAGAGGAGGGCCATGATCTAGTCAGTCATTTTTGCATCCTTGGTATCCACCACTTGACCTGACACATAGTGGGTATTTAGAAAATGTTTAATTTGAATTTTACGATCAATAAATAAAAAATGTCATTACTACTGAAACACTAGAGAAACACCCAACTGATAGGCAGTAGGCCTTCCCAAGTTCTTCCCTTTAGCGGTCCATAATAACTGCATGTGCTGCTAGTGGATCTTTGGACTCAGTGGTTACATAACGAAAACCTTTCCAGATTCTTTCATTTTAGAGTTCTCTATCACTTTCAGACAAGGGATGGTTGTACTTTAAGTTATTACTTTGATCATAATGACAAACAATGGCTTTCATGTTTCTTATGAACAGTGCTATAATCTGGATGAAAAAACAATAATAGCTATTGTTTATTGAGCATATACTACATTCCAGTCTCTTAGTGAACGCTAGTGTTTCTTTAGGCTTTTGATAACTTTCTGATTACCATCAATTTACCTCTTTTTCTGGGTTCTATACTCCTAAAACAAAACAAAGCAACAGCATTGTAATGCTTTTCCTCCATACTACCTACTGTAATGAGTGATAACACTGTCTACTCTGCCCTTCACATCTAATCTGAATTCACCTAGACTCCATCCCCTCTTCCCCATATCTAATTGGCCACTAAGTCTTATCAGTGTTTTTTTTAATCTGTCGAGTTTTCCTTCTACTTCTATCACTTGCTCTACTGAATTAATAATTTCTCAAGTTTTCCAATATATAGTTAAACATCTTTACTAGTTTTTCTGACCTTGATTACCCTGTCCCTCAATCTGCCTTACCCATAATTATCAGCATTGAATGCTTCTAGCAGTAACGTAATCATGTCAGTCCCATGATTAAAACTCTTCTATCATTCCCATCATTTTCAAGATAAAGTCAATTTCCCAGTCATGACATACAAGACCCTATGTGTGACTCCAGAGCTTAACACACACATGTTTCAGAACTCAGAAATATTTGGACCTCAGAAAGGTCGTATAATGTACATAATATTATAAAATACCCTCTGCTTATTCTGTGTCAGCACTGTGTAATCATACACATTAATATTTCTTCATCAAAGAGTTTGGTTGTTTATGCCAACTAGAATAATGACTATAAATAGATTCCTATCAGTTCAGGTCATGTTTTGCTGCCAGATGAAGGCAAGAAACTGTTTACTTTTTAGAGTTTTTTAGATCTCAGAATTTGAGATAGGAGATTATGGCCCTGTAGATACCCAGTGGTCTGCTAGAGCTGACTTGCCCTGGCTGTCAAGAGCCCAGTTTGCACATCTCTTCTCGACTCTGCAGTTGGTGAGGCACGTTGGTAGTTTGAAATCAGCCATGGAAGGTATGGTATTTATGCCATGGACCTCAGTAAATGCAACAAATCATGGCTTTTCCCCTCCCTGGAGATCAGGTTGTTAAACATTACCAGCAAAGCATTGTATATATTCCTAATATATGTATAGTATATTTGTGTATTTTTACCATTGTGGCAAACCAACTTGCTCACGCTATGCAGTAAGGGACAGAAGAGTAAAGTTTTCAGGGAAACACAGAATGTAAAAATTAAAAGATCGATAAGAGAAACTGGGAAAAATTGGAGCTTTGGAACCAGAGCTTCAAATTCTAACTCCACTTTTTTCCAGGCTGTATGACCCTGGATAAATCACTTATCTGGATTTCAGTTTACACATTTGAAAAATGGGGACTGATATCTTTCTCTTAAGGTTGTTTTAGGGATCTATAATTAGATATCACATGTAAAGCCTAACATAGAATGAATAGAAAATGTTATTCTTTGTTTACTATGAGCCTTATTTTTCTGGAGATGTTTATTTCTGCAGACATGACTCCCATTCTCTAACATCGCTAATGCCCCCACAGAAAATATCATGCAGTTTAGCACTTGTATGTTTTCTGGTTAGTTCATCTTGTGTCCGTTGATCTCCTTATAAAAATGATCCTTGACTTTTCTTGAGCATGTCTGTCTAAACTAAATTTACGGGGCGTCCCCCCCCCCCATGAAAAGCTTTCAGTCATTCACTTAATAAACATTAATTGAGCATCTATTACATGTTAACGTGCTAGGTGCCAGTGATAGATTAACAAGACATAGACCCTCCTTATGTTTCCATGGAATGATAGTTGGGCAAGGAAGCCAACTGTTTAAGTGCAGGGAAATTGGGAGGTTTTGTAATCATCTGGGTGAGATGTGATGGTGATAAGAACTGAGGTAGTGGCAGTAGGAATGAAGGAGAGATGTCTTACTCAAAGATAAAGACTGTAGAACTGGATAACTTGGGAGTGATCTTGCTTTCTTTCTCCCTGCCCCACCTGAGATCTCTGGCTTTGCCTTATGGATAGGTGGTGGTGCCATTTATCAATATAAGATGTACATAAAAGAGATCAGATCTTGAGCAGAAGATGATGGGTCCAGTTTTAGACCATCTTAGTTTTGAGGTGTGTGTGGGGTATATGGGCAGGGTGACCATATTTATCATTTACTTAAAATTACTTGAATTTATCATACAAACTTGAACATTTATGAGAGTGAGTAGGATGTGCCTTTAATATTGAAGCTGGGGCAATATTTATAAACTGGACCTGGCCTGGAAAACCCAAGGGTGTCAAGAAAAGACCATTAAATATCAAGCCATACAGGGAAAAAGCATAGAGTAGAAAGAGCAGTGGGTTAAGTGGAATCTGAAGAAAAATTTAAGGGAGGGAGGAAATGTGATCATTGAAGCAGGAAGGGAACCTGGAACCAGTGGTCTCACAGAATCCCAGGGAATAATCATTTTATTTTCTCTTGTCTGTTGTTTAGGAGTAGAGCCCCTTTGAAGGATTCATCATCAGATGCAGACCTCTCTGCAGTGAGAGGTCATGTACATGTTAAACATGTACCTGTTAAAAAGGGGTTTTTACCTTTTATGAGAATACTAATTTGAGTGACTTAGTTATTATAAAACTCTCTTAAGCACTTTTGTTTTGCAGTCATTTGGCCAAAATCTGCTAATTCAGATCCAGTTTAAATCTAGGTGTTATTTTATATTTATTTTATTTATATTTATTTATTTTATCCTAAGAGTGTGAGTTATTTAGTCAAATATGTAAGTATAACCACTACAAGCACAAAGTAAATCTCTAGGTCAAGAGATAGAACACATTTTTTTCTGAAATACTGAAAATCATAAACAGCACTTCTTTTCCTTCCTTATAAAAAAGTGTTCTTCAGGAATTCAACAGAAAAATAGAACAGGGGTGCGCCTGGGTGGCTCGGTCAATTAAGCATCTGACTTTTTTTTTTTTTAATTTTTTTTTTAACGTTTATTTATTTTTGAGACAGACAGAGACAGAGCGTGAATGGGGGAGGGTCAGAGAGGGAGACACAGAATCTGAAACAGGCTCCAGGCTCTGAGCTGTCAGCACAGAGCCCGACGTGGGGCTCGAACTCACAGACCACGAAATCATGACCTGAGCTGAAGTCGGCCGCTTAACCGACTGAGCCACCCAGGCGCCCCTAAGCATCTGACTCTTGATTTCAGCTCAGGTCATGATCTCATGATTTCCTGAGTTCGAGCCCTGCGTCAGGCTCTGTGCTAACTGCAGGAGCCTGCTTGGGATTCTCCTCTCCCTCTTTCTCTGCCCCTCCCTTGCGCTTGCTTGGCTCTCTTTCTCTCTCTCTCAAAATAAACTTTAAAAAAAGGAAAAAATAGAACAAATGAATATTTTGCATTCTTAGTGGATTATGCTGGCTATTTGCCTCCTAATATTTTATTATGAAAAATTTCAAACATACAAAGAATTGAAAGAATTACACCTACTAACTATAATTAATATATTGCTGTATTTGCTTCATCACATATCTCTTTGTCCATCTGTTTATCCCTCTAGTCATTCATCAATCCATCTTATTTATTTATTTGTTTGTTTGTTTAATTTTGATGCCTTTCAAGTAAGTTGATTGGCTGTTTTCCTAAGAAAGCTTTATTTTTTCTGGATGTTGTAATTTGTACAGATGTTTTCAGCTGACCGTTTTTCCTGTTTCTAGAAATATGAAGTTGCCAATAATAACTGTCAAACTTAGAACATTAAAAAAAAAGCCTGGTAAATAGTGTCAAGCCCAATTAGTGTCTTCTTTCTCAATAGATTTATAACTGAGACACTTATAATTGTTAAAGTTATCAAAAAGAATTTCCATGGGTCTTTTAATATTATTTTTTGGTATTCTAAATAAATACTTATTCATACTGTATTGTTTTCAGAGTGGAGAGATCTACAGACCAAGTCATCAAGCCAGTCAATGTAGGAGCACTATCAAAATGGGTTGGGAAGATACCCCCAGATGTTTTACAAGACATGGCAGTGATTGCACCCATGCTTGCCAAACTTGGATATGACCCATATGCCAATCCACCTAACTATGGAAAACCTGATCCCAAAATTCTTGAAAACACTAGAAGGGTAAGTGAGAGTTTTTAAAATGAATTGAGAAAACTGAATATGGAATTTGGGTCCTGAGCATTTTTTTCTCCTTTTGCTTCTTATTTTTTGTGATCAGAAATTTACTTTAAGTTTGAGAAATTCTATTTGTAGAATGCTTTATCATGAGAACTCTTCCTGCATTTGAAGGGTAACTGTGGCTCTTCCCAGGAAGTATGGGGACAGTTCTTTAATCTTTTTTGTGCAGTTTCTAGGAATGGTGCTGATTGTTGGGGAGATTTATTCTCATAGCCGATTACCACAGATTTGCTGGAAATACCAGAATTATTAGTGCCTCACTTCTAGGATTTTTTTTCCCTTTGAACCTAATAGCTTACTTTACTTTTAAACCTTTGTTTAAATGAGGCATGATTTCTTGATACTTGAAAACTGAACACTGGCTACATCAGAAGAATTATTACAGAGGTGTAATAAGCAACCTTGCGATTGAAAGTTGTATTAAAGTGTAATTACAGCTTTTTCTCTTAATAAATTATGCTAACATCTTTATAAAATATTGTTTCAGACAAGCTGAAAACTCAGCTAATCTGAATATATACATTTCCGAGTGTAATTTATTTCAAATCAGACCTTGATGTATTCTTTTTTTATTGTGGTAAAATACACATAACGTTAAATTTACCATTTTGACAATTTATAGGTGTATAGTTCGGCGGTATTAAGTATACCCACGTTGCTTGTGTACTTGCCGCCACCACCCAGATGAAAAACGTTCTGGAAGTTCATCTTCCCAAACTGAAACGACATGGTCATTACTCATTCCTTCTCCTTCCAGCCCCTGGCAACCACAATTCTACCCTCTGACTCTACATGCATTCTTGTCTGAGACTGCAGTTTCAACAACACAGCTATGTTAGTGTAAGTTCACTGATAGGCTGTTTGATTTCAAGGTGAAAATTCCTTGCTTTTCTCAAGTATTCTCTTGCTTGTGTCAGTGTCCTTCTCTCTCTACAATCTTAAATCATCTCTTTATTCTGTCCTTCTTTTGATACCTTTAATTGACAAACACACTTACATTTCATGAGGTTAATTTCCATGCAGATTTTTTTCTCTTAAGTATTATATACTTTCATTTTCCTTTTTTAGTTTGTAGTAGCTATCTAGGAAGAGCTATCTGTCTTCTTATAAACCATCATGTATACAGGCAGATCTTTTTACATAATCTTTATCCTTTTTTATGATTTCATATCTACAAACATTTTATTATAAAAATGTAAACTTATACAACTTATAAAATTAAAAAGATAAGAAAATAAAATTCGCCTCTGTTACCAACCATACACATACCATTCTTATTTCGATGGTTTTCCCTTCCTTCCTGCTTATTGTAAAATGTAAGATAGCATTGTTTTATAATCTTACTTTTGCACGCACGCGCACGCACACACACACACACACACACACACACGATTTTGTATCCAGACCTTTCCTCCTAATGTTCGTTAGCATGTTGCTTTTTAAACATAATTTTTCATGGTTACATAATATATTACCAGATGAGCTACCTCAAATCCTTTCTGAAGCACAGTAGTAGGTCAGTAAATGAATGAACAAATAAAATATATTTCCCTAGTATATGTCCTATAATTCATTTCACCATTTTCCTTTTGCTGCTTACAATTTTGTTTGACATATTATAGTGAACATCTTTGCACAAAATACATTTTTTGGTACAAATTACATTTTTGTCTCTTTTTGTTTTGTTTTTTATTTTTTTAGAGAGACAAAGAAAATGCAAGTCAGGGAGAGGGTTAGAGGCAGAAAGAGAGAGAATCCCAAGCAAGCTCTATGCTCAGCATGGAGCCCAGCCCGATGCAGGGCTTGATCCCACAACCCTGGGATCATGACCTGAGCAGAAATCAAGGGTCGGACACTCAAATGAGTGAGCCACTCAGGCACCCCTAGTGTCTTTTTCTAACGTAGACTAAAAAAAGTAGAATTAAACCAAGTCCAAGTATCTGAAATTTTTTAAGTTGCTTGATATATGTTGATAATTTCTTTTTAATCTTTTGGACTATCCATATAATATAGGTAATTTTATTTTTGATTTTTGCTGATTTTAATAGGTTTCATTGATTAATGTAGTTGAACATTTTCCAGTTATTACCTACATGTCCACATTCTTTTATGAACCATCTCTGAAGTTTTAAAAAAGTTTACATTCTGCTAAAGATGAAGTACACATCAATCTAACATCCATTATCATAGTCCTTGGTAATCTCTTGACAATTGGTAATTCATAGCTTTCTCTTTTGTATGATATCAGAATGTTTTTTATAAACCAGAAATATGTACAAATGATATTTAGGGGTTTTCCAGGCAATAGACACTATAGTTTTCCTACATGCAAGTTGACTGGCTACATTATTCTTGGTCTGCTTGAAGGTTGGGAAGAATGCTGTGGTTTGAATCCATGTGACTAGAGAATTTGTTTCATACACATCTGTGGCTTTTTAAAGGGTTTCTGAATTCACACTGGATAAAAACCTTCCTCCCCCATCTCTATTTCTAAAGTGACAAATAATTTTGAGCCAAAAAAAGATAAAGTGTGAACTATAATTGCATTTTTGAGCACTTCATGATAATGCATACAAGCTGGCATTCCTGTTTTGTGGGGTTGGGTTTCGTAGCCCTTCTTGTAATCCAAATCCTATGTTTTTTCAAAGCTTTTTTGCCTGTAAAAATTCAGATGCTATTGTATGCAGCATTGATGATCATGAAGTTTCCTAAAGTCATGCTTAGAAAGTGATCTTTGATTGTCAGATGTGATGTGAGAATGGCTCCAGAAAAAGAAGATGGCTCAGGAGATTGTTCCCTTTATTTATGGGATGGGAGTGGGAAGAAATTCACATTTTGACCAGGAATATAGAATCCAAAGCTCCAGAACTAAACGTGCTGGTTTTCATACAGTTCTGGGTAGTCTGGAAGTATTGGTCTCTGAGTCAGCATATTTTGGGGACATATTGCCCAATTTTGAATAGAAAATCATGTGCTTGGTGGTTGCTGTGACTCAGAGGGTAAATTGGAAATTAAATACTAACATATTCCATACTCTTTCCCATCATAGTCTCTAATCCCAAAATTGTGGCACATTTAAGTAAATAGTGCCCTCTATCTTTTTAGATTTATAAACCTAATTGAGAACATGATGAAATGTATGGATTCCTATCTTAGAAATACCGACACATAGATACACAGAATTTTACCCACAATTTCAGTGAATTCATAGATGTCCCTGAAGCCCATCAGATTAAGGAATTCTGTTTTGTGGCCTCCTTAATCAAACTCATCCACTCATGTGGCTTTTTTTTTTTTTAATGTTTATTTATTTTTGAGAGAGAGAGAAAGAAACATAGTACAAGCGGGGAAGGAGCAGAGACAGAAGGAGAGACAGAATCTGAAGCAGGCTCCAGGCTCCGAGCTCTTAGCACAGAACCCAATGCCGAGCTGAAACTCACAAACCATGAGATCATGACCTGAGCTGAAGTTGGACACTTAACTGACTGAGCCACCCAGGCGCCCCTTATATGGCTTTGATTACAGCTTATTTGCTGATGATCATAAATTTGGTATCTCCTAGTGGTTTTCTTTCCTAAGCTCCGAGCTCCATATTTCCATCTGCCATTTGAATCCTTCCACCTACGTGCTCACAGAGACCTGAAACTTGGTGACCAAAATTGAACTTATTTACCAAACACATTCCTTGGTAGGAAGAAGCTCGATGGAGTTGTTCATTAAACTGAGTAGGAATCTAAAGTAGGGGTGAGATAGGATATGATCATCTATACTTGAAGCATCTATGAGTCACTGAGCAGGTAGGAGGAACAGAGTCCTCAGGGCACATGAGTCAAGCCAGAAAACAGTTTAAAGACCTTGTTACTAAACCTGAAGAGAGAGCTGAAAAGCAGATCAAAGTATAAATGGAATATGCGTTGGAAACCTGAATAGACAGTACTAATGCAGAGCAAATAGTCAAATGGAAAAGCAGATATCAGGGTGTAGAACCCACAGTTGCAAGCAAGAAGGAACTTGATATAAGGCATAGGAACTGTTAGTAGAAGTGTTAGACATTTTTGCTTGCCCGTTCCATCTTTACCTGTAGTAGGAACTATCTCTTAAAAAATAAACTAAAAATTCCTGATATTAATTTTTCCAGACTTTCTTAGAGGTGGGATAAGGATGTGGCCAGTTTTTCCTTAGGCAAAGCTATGTAAGGAGATGTCTTTTAGAGTTTTCTGGGAGACATTGAATTTTCTGGAAAAAAAAAATAAAGAATTCTGTGAAAAGAGCTCATCCTTCCCCTCCTGCTTTTTGAACACTGCTATGGAAGAACATTATGCATGGCTGTGCTGCAGCCGTCTTGAGGTTGTAAGAGAAGGTATCACTGATACCCTGAAGATGATAAAAGGAAGACAAGGAAAGGGCCTGAGACCCTTGATTTCTGAGCTACTGAGCACAGCTCAGGACTGACCATTCACTTCACCTCTGGACTTCTTAGATGTTTGAGCTACTTTTAACCAGTTATTCTGTTATTATAGCGTTAAGCAGTAACTACCAGTTAATGCTAGTGGACTCCTACTCTTCAGTGTGTAGCAGGAATAAAGCCCACCCAGTGAGGCAAGCAGAGTGAGTCCAAGAGAGTCTGGCATTATTTGAAGTCCTGGTTCTGGCTGTCTGTGAATATCATCTTCGACTCTGCTCTTGCCACAGTTATGTGAGACATCGTAATTCACATCCAGGAAAAATTCCCCCTTGGACTCCTTTCCTTTAACTGGGCTTCTGGGCCATAGTAGGAATATTCCAACTAATACTATTCTTGGTGAATTTGGAAGATGATAAATCTTTAGCTATTCCTCATTTCCTTGATTTTTTGTACTCAAATTTTAGCTGTTTTAGTTAAAAGAATACTTACTCTCTTAAAATTTTCATAGACCTTCAAAGCAACAACTGTAGAATTAAGT